ATATATATATATATATATATATATATATATATATATATATATATATATATATATATATCATGCATCACATGTGTGAGTGCAAATACATTGTTAATTAGAAAACTGGAATTGGAAAGAATCTTCTGGGGCTCAGCCAAGATTTGTGCTTATGAAGCAGAATAGATTCATGATTTGATCATATTTAAATAATGATAAACTTCATGCACTCTTGCCTCTGTTCTGAGAGCAAGTAAGAATATCTTGAACTCTGGGGAAAGGCTATAATTGAATAGCTGGTTTCTTTGAAGCTATGAATTTTCATACAGTTGAAGTAAAAAAAAAAAAAACCTAGGATCATCTCTCCCATTTGGTAGCCTGAGTTCAATATAATTTAAACATTAAGATCATAAAAATTCCCTGGTGGATCATACTACTGTGCGCCATCAAATTCATGACCTTTTCTCCATTAGAAAAATGTTTAAATCGTGATAAAAAGATTTATTTGAAAAGTGTGTGCCTGAAGGCAGAGAATTATGTTGAATGACAGAGTCAACCTCAATCCCTTTTAGTTTTCATTATTGAAAAATAAAGTCATGCATAAAAAAAATACCTAGTTTAGCATAATATTACTTGGAGCTGTCTTGATAAAAAGATTGATTTAGAAAAAAAAAGCTGTTTTAATTCTAAGAGCTACACTGTTGTGCAAACAGTGACACTGAAGGGACATATACAGTATTAATTAAACTTTTAAGGGTGATGGGAGAACTGATTTAGTAATGAGAAAAATAATGTATATTAACCAGATATACAACCAGTCAACATTTAAATATTCCATGTTACATCATTTTCCAAGTAGTTTGGGTAGATCTGTGAAATCTAATGAAATAATGTCTCACGCATCCATGATATTTATTTGTATTGTCTTTTGAAGGTAATATGTGTGAAATTATTTATAATGCTTTAAACCATCAATCAAAGCCTCTTTCCACATATTGCAAATTTTCTATTTGCGTGTACAGTTGTACACGTAAATTAAAATACCACCTATATTTCTATAATTGCTTGTATTTATTCTCCATCACTGTGAATACACACATGTGGTGTTTGGTCATTTAGATTTTTTTTTTTTTGCCATTTTCAGTATTGTTTTTGCTTTAAAATTAAAAATTAACAAATCCATTTCAGAAGAATTCAAATGGACCACAATGTTTTCGTTAAACATTTGAGAGAAACTATGGCAATGTTTTCTTACCGTTGTTATCTCATTTGTCGGTTACAAGTTAAATGGATACATAAAAGGTTTTTTCATTGAAGAAGAATATGACTATAATAATGGGCAAACTGACATCATCATCATCAGGATGAATTGATAATGTAATGCATTGCTATGATAGCAATTATGAAGCTGTAGGCCTCATGCCTCCTTCAGTGAATTAGATCTTAGTTTGTGCTCGCATAAGAAATGGTGTGTGGATTTAGAGAGGAGGAAACTATGACTGTCATTGTTATTTGATCTGATCAGCCATTGTGTGTCTTTCATCTATCCAGGTAGTCCTCGACTTACGACCATAATTGAGCCTAAAATTTCTGTTGCTAAGTGAGAAATTTGTTTTGCTCCATTTTATGACTTTTCTTGCCACATGTGTTAAGTGAACCACTGCAGTCCTTTAATTAGTAACATGGTTGTTAAGTGAGTCTGGTTCCCCCATTGACTTTGCTTGCCAGAAGGTCGCAAAAGATGATCACATGACCTCAGGACACTGCACCGTCATAAATATGATCCAGTAGCCAAGCATCGAAATGTACAACACATGACCATGGGGATGCTGCAACAGTTGTAAATGTGAAAAATGGTCATAAGTCACTTTTTTCAGTGCCCTTGTAAGTTTGAATGGTCACTGTTGTAAATCGAGGACTACCCATACTTTTGCCAATGGGAAAATAATGTCTTTAAAATTGAATAATACTTTTATACCCTAGTATTCCCAACAACTTTTTTTTATTACTCCACTGTCTTCTGATATTGGTGTCACAGCTAACGCCAATTCATATTGTTCCTACATTGAATTAAACATGATTGCAATTTCTGCCACTGCAGAAGCCTTTTAGGAAGAGTCTAGATTGGAGAAAATTGTGGAGAAGTTGAAAACATAAGTAGTATTTGTGTAGAGTATCCAATAAAACATTCCTTCTAGATGGGATACACTACTTTCTCTATGGAAATATGGAGCTTCGTGGAGACTTTTATCTTTGAAATTATAAAGCTGAACCAATATTTAGGACGAGGTTGGAATTGGTGAAGAAAACTGTATCGAGCCAAGATGAGCTGAAATGATAAATATCAGAAAGCAATTATAAAAATATTGTAGCTGAATGTGATGCTGTGATGTAGAACGAGGAGGACCCTAGAAATACTTCCCATTTCTGAGTGCTCTTTATGACTCCTGCCATGTGCCAATCTGTGAAACGTTTATATTAAAAAGTTTCCTGGTAGCACTCATAAATGTATTTACTGCTTGAAGTGAAACGATAAAGAGTAGTTTATACCACAGAATCTCAAAATGAGTTGCCTTTTTCATTCAGAAAGAATATTTTGGGTAACTCCCATGAAAACTCTGAAGAAATTGAGAGGTCCAATGAAAAGAAAGAAAAAGAAGCTGCACTGTAAGTTTGGTATCAGTACAGCGCTTTGACCACATCTCTGCATTATGCTTCTCCTTCTGTGGGTTGCAGTTATGTCCATTCCTTAGTTTTGTTCTGTGTCTCTGTTTACTGCTGGATTTGACATCTGAAACCCTAAAATGCTAACCGTAGGGTTCTTGTTTATTGATGTAGATATATGTTTACGTGTACTGGCACATTTCATATTTCATTATTTTAAAAAGTTGTGTAGCATCGACAAAATGACAAAAGGAACACCATGACACAAGCACTGTTCCTTTCATACATGCATGGCATTGCTTACAGTTTGGGGGAATAATCATTGCTTTAATCATTTTCACTGAACAGGAATCACTTATTCACCTAAATTGTTTACCGTCCGCTAACAAAAGTCCATCTTGTTTGGGTTGAGGCTAGATTTACTGGCTTTTACCCAATAAACCCCATTACTGAAGGGTTACACTGACTAATCTACCTGAAACTGATAGGGTGCTACAGAACGGCAGGTTATCAATAAATTGATGGGACTTTATTAAAAACTTCATATGATCTCCCCCAGCAGTTTAATGTAAACATTGAACAGTTATAGCACCAAACCATTTAAACGATATAGCCTTGAGCAGAAATTCCGCAGTAGCATTGTCTAGAGATAGACCTAACTCAGTCTCTCCAAAATAATTCATTGTATTAGAAACACTTGAAAGGTCCTGTAGGATTCCACATTTCTCTGCTTGTAAAGAGAGGGGATTATTCCACCACCTAATCAAGACACATTTAGTGCCAAGACCACTAAGGCCAAGGTTTACTTCTGTTAAAAATCAATTTTATTCAAGACTGTCTGGAACTGATTATCTACCAACAACTCAAGCATCCTTCCCAAAAAGATGTTTGCCTGCTTTCTTTAATTAAAACTGTAGCCTTCCTGCTTTTAAGAAGAAATGTATAAACATCTGGATCTAGCTAAACATTCCCTTTCTATTACCCAAATAAGCCATGAGAAGCAAAGTTTGAGCAAATAAATGCCTGTTTGAACTCTCTGCAGTTCCTTGAACACATTGTTATGCCTTAAAGCACTCCTGGACTCCTCTACTATCGAATTGCCAAAACTGCAGAATCCAAGTCAAGACAATTACAATAAATTTTGCCCTCAAAGGATCTTGGTGGCATGTCACACAGTGGTGGGTTTCAAAAATTGTTGGAACCTACTCTGTGGGTGTGGCCTCCTTTGTGGGAGTGGCTTGCCGCCCATGTGACTGGATATGAAATTATGAATTAGTACTTAGTTCGGTCCAAGTAGCTATTCAGAATCTCTGGCATTGAAGCATGCAAGTCTTAAAGCTGTCAAGTTACAAGATCCTTGCCAGTGGTGGGTTTCAAAATTTTTTGGAACCTCTTCTGTAGGTGTGGCCTGCTTTCCGGGTCCACTGGTGGAACCTCTTCTAACCGGTTCGGTAGATTTGACGAACCGATTCTACCGAATAGGTGCGAACTGGAAGGAACCCACCTCTGATGTCACATGAAACAACCTTAGGTTCTACATTCTTCTCTTTAATGAGAACTCAGAAGGTTCCAAATCACTTGGAGAAGTTCCACTAGATATCACTAAGAGGATAGAGTGATGATGGGAAAATGTAATAATGAGATCTCAAAAAACTTTGAAATGAGTTTTGCTGCAGGTGTCTCTCTACTTATTTCAGATTGGTATATACCAAAGATATAGACGAAGTAGTTCACAAATAAACATTTACTGTCTATGCCAGAAAATTTCCCTTTATGTTAACTGGAATCCATTAATTTTCAGAATCATAATCTTAACTCTAACAGATTCCCCATCCCTACAGCAAGTAATAATTGATAGACATCTAAAAATCTCAGCAGATCTGATTTTTGCAGATTTAACATCCCCTAATTTCAAAGTGCTATACTCCTTCCTCCAAACCCCACCCCAGAAGTCCATAGAAGGTTGTCTACAAGTGTTGACCTAGTTATGTCTATGTATGTTTGTGTTTTTAAAGATTTGTGTGTGTATGTGTGTGTTAGCTATTGTTGTAGCCTTTTAATAAGGCTTGACGATTGGTCCTGTTGTCTTTATGTCAAGAAGGTTGTAATAAATACTGTAAGGAAAATCTTTCCTTCATAAACTTGATACTTAGTTGGTATATTTTTCTGATTATTGCTGTAGCTTTTGTTATATCAATAACCAATATCTTGAATATACATAGTAGTGATGTATCAAATCTCTGTCATAAAGAGTTTCCTTTTAAAAAAAGGAAACAATAAAAGGAAAGGAAACATAATAAAAACAGTTGACATTAAAAAATTAGTAATTATTGGAAACTATGTTAGACTCCAAAATCCAGAATAGTTTCTTCAGTTTGAATAGCTGTATAGCAAATAACATTTCAGCAGATAGTCATTGAAGAGCTAAAGCAACAAAAAACATTTCTCATTATCACTATATGGTTATTTGAAACACAAAAGCTGTATCTGGCTGTTTAGATAGCAACTCTTATTGCTGCACATTGGAACCCTCAGTTGAGAAGAATGTAACTCAAATCTGGCTAATCTCAAGCATAAGAAAACATATTTAAGATGTGGTTAATTCACTCATAGAAACAAAACATTATAGAAAATGGTATATAGTGGGAATGCTTTTAATTGGATCTTATATAGCAAGTATGTAACTTCCAGGCCATTCCTATTGTACAAAATCCCAGTGAATATGGTAGAACTGAAGATTCAACAGGTACAGGATTCTGTTAAGTAGAAATAAAAAGTTAGTGTTACACAGTTTTAACATGACAGTGAATGTTTATCTCGGTATCCGTCATTACATATAGTTAAATGGTAACATTTTGGTTTATGTTTCTAAACAATCCACAGGTGTCTAGAATTTCTTCTTCAAAATGAAGCAAACCCTTCAATCCAAGATAGAGATGGCTATAATACAGTGCATTACGCTGCTGCTTATGGACACAGGCAGTGTTTAGAACTGGTGAGTAGCCTGAAACAGTGTTGAAATGCTGCATTGCAAATGTCACTTCCAAACAAAACATATTCTTAATTTTGCAGAGCTATTACCATTATTCTTTGACACTGAACAATGTTATGTTTGTAAATTTGCCCAGGAATATGGCTATGCAGGAGAGGTACAAGTATTTTCATTACTTTACTACTTCAACATAAAGTTGATAGAGAAGCCAAGCATAATCAGAATTAAGGTGTGAAATTCTTCTGGATTGCAAGTTCAGAAACCTGTGGAATATGTAGTGATGAGAAGATGAAAAGGGCACACACTTGCCATGATCAAAACAGTCTTCCTCTGGGATATGCACTGAGAATGCAATGGCTGAAAATGTTTGGGACTAACTTTCTTGATGGCCTACTCAATATTTGCTATGCATAGTTTGAGAACACCCTTGTTAGGACAGATATCAAAGTAAGCTAATAATTTCTCAAGAAAGTTCTTGGTACTATTCAACTCCTGATTTTTCAAGAAAAGTCCAATCATTATGAGTTGTTGTCTTAAAGGAATAGTTTTTTTCAGAAACTCTTGCCATAGATTGCATGTATCTGAGTTTATGCATTGTAATGCACCCAAGCAAATATCAGCTCCACCATATGCTGTGCAACTACTTCGTTAAGTTTGTTACTATCATTGCGGCCAACAAGTTTCATACCTGCATTTATTTAAGTTCCCCATAGCAATATACAGTACTTGGTTGTGTCGTTATTTTGCAGAAGTTGATCCATAGGAAAGCAGAAATATTTAAAGCTATTAAATTTATAGTTTTTTGCCAATTTTACAACTTGGAGTTCCATTTTATTATCATAGTTCAAAGTCTTTACTTTTAAAATAAGCATGCTGACTTGACTATCTATCAAATGTCACAGTCCAAAAGTTTTAAAAAAAGTAGTTGTGCTGTCATAACTATCTCAGAACGAAAAGGAATGACAAGATTCTTGAGATGTCAACAATTCATAAAATATGTGAATGACAGAACTAGTTACTAATGGATAAGTGAGCATTACAGTAGTCTGTTTTTACTATGTTAAAATCTGTTTCATTTTACAATGAATTCATTCTTGATTCTTCTAATTCTTTTGAACCCTTAGTGATCAGCAATAGTAAGTTCAATAGTATATGACAGTCGTAAGATGATGGGTTTTCTTTAAAGATAACCAGCATCTTGAAATGCGCCCAGAAACTGTATTAGCCAATGTAGCTCACGGAGCAATGGTGTCACATAGGCATTCTGAGGTGTGCCCATTACTCTTTGCATCTCTGCATTCTGGTCTAGCTGTAGTTTCTGAGTAGTCTTTAAGGGTAACCCCCATTGAGAAAATTCATTGTCCAATTGTGAGATCACAAAGGGGTGCTTGATTATATGGAGGATCTCCTGAACTAGGCACAAGTGCAAAGCAATAGCAATAGCAGTTAGACTTATATACCGCTTCATAGGGCTTTCAGCCCTCTCTAAGCGGTTTACAGAGTCAGCATATTGCCCCCACAGTCTGGGTCCTCATTTCACCCTCCTCGGAAGGATGGAAGGCTGAGTCAACCTTGAGCCGGTGAGATTTGAACTGCTGAACTGCAGATAACAGTCAGCTGAAGTGGCCTGCAGTACTGCACTCTAACCACTGCGCCACCTCGGCAAAGACAATGCCTTAGGCTTTGATTAATCTCTGCAAAGGCCTTCTTCACCATAGTTGCCATTTTGAGCAAGAAATGTGAATCCAAGAAACTTCCCACATTGCACACTAGTTTCAAATGGGGAAGTACACTCCCATCCAAGCAGAAGACAGAGAATTCCCAGAATTGGGGAATCCAAATACATTGTCAAGATAGAGCCTATGTCTGTTTCTCCCCACCAAACCTGCACACCCTCAAACATTAGGAGAGAACATCAACAGGGGCTTAGGGAAAAACCTCCAACTAGGTATCAACAATATATTGATGATACCAGACCCTCAAATAGCTCCAAAACCTTCAGCACATCAACCCCTTCATGAAGTTTCAGATTTTACAACTACCCCTATTTATGACTTGAAAATAATCTAATGCTACTTCAATTAATAGTACTGTGAATAACAATATCCATAGTTATATTGATTCAATATATCAACAACAATAGCAATAGTGGATAGTCCCGGGATTGAAACTGACTACTTTGTGGAATCTTGCCCTAAAATGATAGATGACCTCTCCCAACTATTTTGTATAGATGTTAAAACAGAAGGGTGAGAACATTAAGCCCCAAGGCTCATCACTTATTAATGCTTTAATATGCATACTCTCAGATACACTAATTTGTTTGATTATAGTTGCAGATCAAACACGGAGGAGTCATAGTCATAATTGTACTCCCCAAAGGCACATTATTCCTTTTTCAAATGTGTCAATAAATACTTATTATGATCTAATATGGAGCCAGTTTAGGCTGACAAATCCTATTGCCTGGAGGTATTCATATAAAAACTTGGCAAAAGCATTTTTCCAGGACATCAATTTTAATAGAATCACATAAAATTATAGAAAATTCCCATGGTAATTTATCTTCAATTAGCATGAAGAACTAAGTTTGTTAAGAGCTAGAAAATCATTAGCAGGTTATTTGAAGTTTCATTTTCTTTTTAGTAAATTTGTCATTGCCTCTTTTCTTGCTGTGTGCAGCTGAAGAGAGCTCTTGAGTGTTAAGTTTGTGTTTATGCTTAACATTACAACAGATTTCAGTATTTTCAGCAGCAAGCCAATTAATCTTCATTTGCCTGTGTCTCATCTGCTTTCTGATTAATAGCTTGACTGTATTTCTAAAAATGCTTCCAAATCTTGATTTTTCCACTCATGAAAAATGACTATCTCTATCCTTTTTTTTTCACTCTGAAATTGACTTGTCACTTTGTATTAAAAAAAAAAGATTTATAGTGTTTTCATGTTGATCTTTGGGTAACTAGGTCATATTCATGGACTGTGATAAAAATAATCAGAAATAATAAAATTAGTTTTTTTTATTTGAAAGGCCTTTTGAAGAATGAGCAGCAAAGACTGAGAACAGAGTTAGCAGACATTTTATTTTTAGAGTTTATGCGCCTGAGATTAATACAGTCATAGCTCATGAAACTGAAAACACACCGTCGCAGTACTATGCACTGGCAAAATCTAATAAAATCTATTGCAGCTGTCGCCGAGGTCTCTTTCTCTTGACCTCTTAACTGAAACAGTTAAAAGAATGTTTAAAAGACAATGGCATCCCCCTTCCAATGAAGGTGGCAGCTTGTCTCTCTCACCCAGATTGAAAAGAAATGTACCGTAGTGACAGTCAGCATTCCACCCAAAGTGTTCGGTTCAATTATCATTCCATGTGTCAGTACACTGCACACACTCTAGTTGGTGTCACACAGGCAACAGTGTGTAGCCTCTAGATTAGTATACTTACCTTGAATAGAATAGTGTGAGTGTGCTTGGGGTGAACAGGGCTTTGACTGAATTCATGATATCCTGGATTAAATTGGCTAAATGTGCTGATATTATCCTTACCATGTGTATGGAATTTGCACCTGGCACCGAATACAATTGTGTTAGGTAATCTGATAAACTGCTCTACAAGTGAAAAGTACTAAGAATGTGATCAAATCAAATCTTTATTACATTGTAATCCAGCATAAGGCGGGTAGGAAACAATCAGTTTAAGGAAGATTCATAGGATTAAAAAGCATAGAAGATATATCGAAGTCTAATTTAAAAAGAAAAAAAATCCTAAACATATATATCATGTTACGTATATATAAAACAAGAGTCTAAAAAAATATCTAAAGGGATGGAATCCAAAAATATATATGTTCCGCTACATTTACCTAATGTTGCTATTCTTCCAGATTTGTAATATGTGTGAAATTAAAGAAAAATATTATCAATGAAACTTAAGGTTAAGGAAAAGAATACATAGTTCTGAATGTAAATTAATCAGATTTTGTGGAGCAGACTTGATGAATAAATCCTAGTGGCGTGATGAAAAGGCTAAAATCATGTCCAAAAATATAAATTAGTATAATCTAAATTGTTCTAGTTGTATATGAAGTAGAAATCCATAGGTTGGTGATAATTGCATATTGTATTCCAGTAAATGGCGGTAATATAATAACCATAATAGTTTTGGGGGGAAATTACAACATTCAAAATTACAATATTTTGAATGAATGCAATATGCTCAGGCATTAATAACCATGATATTATTATCCACATAAACGAACAATTGCTGCAAAAAACAGTGAAAGTTTTATAATGTGTATGTAGACAAAAAGATAATTACAAAGAATGAAACAAAAAAAATCAAATTACAGTTAAATGTTAAAAGTCAGACAAAATAATTCGGAGAGAAATAAAAAATTGTTTTGAAAGTACACGCGCAGGCTAAACAAAGTGCTTTCATCAGAATGTGTGACATTAAAAATAGAATAGATTTTGTGATTAAATGATTTAGGATGAAATTGAAGTGAAACAATAGTGAAAGGAGTTAGAGATTTATGATTTGTTATTCAGTAAATTATTGAGAAATGCATGATTTGTAGTAAACATTAGTTAATTTGTGTGATGCAGTAAAAAGAATGTGAATCTGAAAAATTAATGTATCAATTGTACCTAAATAATTAAAAATGAGAGCAGATTGATGACTTTGTCCCTAAGATGGGACAATTGTTGGAAAAAGAGGACATATAAAAATAATGGATAATATGTGGTCTGTTGTAAGGAATGAAAATTTATCAAAAGCAATACTTTTTATTTATAAAAGAGTGCTTCTGGACTTGTTTTCTGGAAGTAAGTCAACTGGGCCTGGGATGTCAGGAGAAATCTAAAAATAGTTGACTACAAAAAACAAGAAAACATTGAGTCAAGACGATATGACTGATTGAAGGTAGATTAAAAGGCAAAGTGAGTAAGCACTACAGAAGAAATGTTTTGAAAGGTTCTAGTTAGAAAGAGAATGAATGAGTATATAATTGAATGGGTGAAGAGAAAGGAAAAAGAGAGGAAGCCATAATTGTTGCTGATATGATTTGGAAAAAGAGGTGAGAAATTTCAAGAACAAAAGATAATTAATAACTGAAAACCAGTTTGGTCTAAAGTGCTGATCTAGAAACTGGAAGACAGTGAGGTCTTCTTTTGACAAGTAAAGGCCAGTCATCCTCAGCCAACCTGCCTCACACGGTTATTGTTGTGGAGAAAATAGGTGGGAACATTCTGTATCCAGCCTTGAGTTTTTAAAATAAAGATGTGATATAAATGTTGCTGTTACTATCTTCCTTGCAATCCCTGCATAACTTCTCAGATGTTCTGAGAAATCCCCAGTGTTTCAGAGCAAATTAGAAGACAGGAAAAGTTTTAGGGAAGAACAATTCACAAAAAATCAATTCCCTTCCATCTAAGTGTAGTGTCTCTTATTAACTCAGGGGACATATGTTAAATATACATGTTATGTACTTTACCTCTTCACCATAGGTATAAATAATTTCCTTCTTTTGTTTGTTCTAGCTTCTGGAGAAAACAAACAACTTTTTTGAGGAATCAGATTCAATATCAGCAAGAAGTCCTTTGCATTTAGCTGTAAGTATAGGTTGGGCGAAATGCTGTTCTAATAAGGTCAAATATCCTTCTGTTTCTTATCTAAAGTACACTGGTTAATACTTATGATGAGACTTCTTTTCTTTGAGTCATATCCAAATCTCTCTAGCCAAATTCAAAGCCCAAGATCCCCAAGTGAAAACATTGCATGAAAGCTAACGCTTTCTAAAGCAGAGCCTCCTCTTAGAGATGGGGAAAGAGTTGAAATCGGTTTTGGTTAAGCTAGTTTGGGGGCTGATATAAATATGCTACTAGTTAAAATAACAAATTCAAGAACTGTGTGCTGGTTTATTTCTTTACTATGTTCAAATTATTCAAATAAGGAATATCTATAGTCTGCAACCAGAGGTGGTTTCCTACCAGTTCGCACCTATTCGGTAGAACCAGTTCGTAAAATCTACCAAACCGCTTAGAAGAGGTTCTACCAGTGGACC